AAAAGAAAGCAAAGGAAGAAAGTAGAAAGGAGAAACACGTGATGTATTTGTATATTTTTTTTCCAACCCCAGGTGGTGTCAATCTAAGAAAAAGCCACAAAATAGACCATAAGTTACAAACACGTCCTTGCTATCGTTACTCTTATTTTTTACCAAGCCTGCACTTTATCTGTTTTCTATATATAAAGAGTTGCTGATCAGCAACATTTGCAAGCTTCACATAAATAAAAGAGTTATGAAAAATGTGATATGACTTCTCTGTGTGTGGTGGAGAATAAGACAATGCAAATCCGTTTTACCATCCCACATGGTCTCTGAATGGTGAAACAATTTCTATGGAAGAAATTTCTCTTGATTGTTTGCAGTCCATGTGTTAGGGAGTGTATGATTTGGAACATCTCCATATTGTAATTTATTCTTGCAGTTGTTTACTTCTCCAGAGCTAAAGTAACTGGTTACCTGACAGCCTATCAACAGGAGAACAAAATTTAAAAGAAATAAAATCATTGTAATTTATGTTTCACTGGTTTCTTAAAAAGTTTCCAATCCTTCTGTTCTTCAGAACATTCTTTCGAAAGAGTGCCTTTTGACTAGTTTAACATGGGGAAAAGATTGGTGAATCCCAAATTCGTACTCAGCCTGTAGGATAAAAATGCAAACTTATATAAAATACTATATAAGTCCTGTCAAAATAGCTGTGGAATTCAGATTCTTTCAATACTGGAAAATTGTTTGTCCAAGAGATATTTGTGTCACACCAGGTTCCAATGAAAGTCATATTATACTATAAGATAACACATAATAATATAATATAAAAGTAAAAGTAATATTTAATAATGCAATATAACAATATAATAAATTGTATTTAATAATATAATATTATAACATGATAATGATCTGAAATTTATTTTGATTTCTTTTTTCTAACTGAAATCATTATGTCAAAACACACTGTTGTTTGATCCTAAGCATGTCAGACTCAGTAGAGAAGGTTTGAGTGGTTTAAACGAGCTGTGGATCAGGCTATTACAGGGAAGAGCTGCTTTTAAGTTGTAAAAGAGTTTGAAAAGCTCAGCATTTCAATACGAGCCATGTGTGGTCATGGTATGAAAATGCTTCCTTAAGTTAGACAATTAGCAGAGCTGTAGCTCTTACACATGCTGCTAGGACACTGCACTCCTGACATGTGCTCCTGCAACTGTAGAGGCTCAGCTGTAATTCCCTTTCCGAAGCCTTTTAATGCGGCTGTTGCTTTATTTCCTGGTAATGAATAATATAATCCTGGTTTTGCTCACTGAGCTTAGTATGTATGACAGTACTGCATCCCTCACTTTTTTGGTACTGGCTATCCATAAAATGCTCATTTGACATGGAATTGGTCTTGCTGTCTCTTAGAGCTTTTAAAGGTGAAATTTTTTCTAACGTGATTTAGATATTTTTTCACAGATTATCCTGATTAATGGGAAGGCAAGATATCTGCATGATTTAAGCATAGAATAAGTGACTGGGTTGAAGCAGGCAAAGAAGACAACCACGTTACGAGTCTAAAAGAGGAGGTGGTAACACCGCTGATGGGGAAGTAAGATAAAGAACTCTGTCAGTGAAAGCACTGTCAGTTGGTGGCTATACATCCTCCAGAACACGTCAGTTAGGCAGGCTGATGTTTCCATTTGGATAAAGGAGTTAAGAGGGAAATAGAAAGCAAGATATACAGGACATTAGCCTAGAGAAGCAGTTCTGTTGGTATTGTAGGTGATGTTAGGTAACGATAGGGTAGAGAAGAGAAACAAAGAGGCAGAGTCAAGGGCAAAGACTTAAGGAAGTGCAGGCAGGTGAAGCAGGGATGAAGACAGCTCTCCAAAAGAGCAAGAAAAGGAGTAGGAAGAGGAGCATCACTGCATTTCTATAGTATTCCTGTTTTATGGGGTTTTGTGAGCTTCCTGATTTGGAACTGGAGGAAGAATATGGAATACAGGACTATAACTTAAAACTTTTAGAAAAAATTATTAAGTGTTTACTAAAAATGTATAAGAAGGAACAAGAAAAATCTGTTCTAGACTCTTGAGGAATGAATAGGCCTCCGTAACCATTATAGCTTCTGTTTTTAAAATGTAGTTTACTTTTACAGCCTGCGCGCATATAATTTTATTTCCCAAAGCGTATAAGATTTTAAAAGTTCCTGAAGATTTAATTTAAAATTAAAAAATATCAATTACTTAGCTTAAAAGTTTTGTTAAACACTTAACACTTTCATCTGATTATACCTTGTTTAGGAGCATAATTTAGAGTAGAATAATAAGATGTACAACTAATGAAACAACAATATAAGCAAACCACTTAAAAGAAAAATAGAATTAATATGCAGAAAAAAGTCTTGAATGATATCTATTTAGGCATGAGTTCATTTTTAAATTTAAGAGGCAGAAAGCCAGTTGCTGGATACATTATAAATGCAGAGTATGTTGTTGGTCACAGACCTGAACTGTCTGGTGATTAGAGTATGTGGTTTAATTTTTTCCATCTTAAGTTTTTATCCTTTTTTGAATTTACATGGTGAGATTTCCTTTAAGCCCTGTATGTTACGCAAGAACCTCTTGCTTTAACGCTCTTTTAAAACAGCTGTAGTTTGACACAACAGACAAAGATAAATTGTTGCTTAAAGATGCTTTTCTCAATTTGATTTATTGCTGAATAGCTGAAAAATTAATTTGGACACCTTTACCCAAGTCACTTACAACCCATGTATTAATTCCTTTCCTTGAATACTGACAGAGATGTACACTTATATTGCTGTTTGGAATATATGTTCATAACAAACCCCACACTCCTCCTAATGTACCATAAGGCTTTTACCATAAAGAATATATAGGCCTATGTTTTGCTGCCATAAGGCATTTTATACCATTAAAATAATTGACTGGATATTATCCAAGGCATTTGATGTAGTGCGCAGTAATGTAGCTGGACAAAATTTTAAAGCAGTAATAAGCTGTTTATCTTACTGGACTGAATTCTTTGATAAGAATTTCTGAAATGCTGAGAATTCTCTATGTAATGGAAAAGAAAAAAATCTGGCTCATACTTAGCTGGTTGCCGTTACGCTGGCTCTTTAGACAAACAAGATCAGCAGTGTAGATTAAAGCACTTGAGCCTTACCTGCAGTAATTTATGAGGATGGATGTTCCTGAAGCATCCTTTTTGCCACTTCATTGGGCCTGGCTAGAGCTCTGTTTCCTGCAGGGTTAGTATTGTCATCTCTTCACACAATGTCGACTGAGCTTCAGGAAAAGCTGGGGATATCAGAAAAAGACAAATTGTGAAAGAGTTTAAGAGCTATATAGTTATCCAAGTCCTTCTCAAATCAGTCGGTATTTGGTACTTCAACCTTTCAGGTAGCTTCGCAAATCTCTACCAGTAGTTTTAAAAAAAATATTTTCTCATTATGGCCTTGACATCTAAACTCAGTACTGTCTCATTTTCTGCTCTGTAAGATGAAGACCATAATGGGGCTACCTAAACAGTGGAAGTAAGAGTTTCTTTATTTTTTTGCAAAAAAATAAAATACTGCTTTTATACATGAACTAAATTACAAGATAAATATTACCATGACCTGTAAAATCATGTGCCTTATTTGAGAAAATTAGAATCTCTGATCTCTCAATCTCTCTTTTTACCTGTTTCCAGATGAAAATGTGGTAATGCAAAAAAAAGAGATACATCACATTATTTTTGCTAGTCTGATGTAATTGACATGTTTCTCGCTAATTTTATATATACTGTATTTTATACATACATTTTTGGTGCTCTGTATAATTCTTGCAAATATGAATTTCTCTGTTCACACAATTTATATAGCACAATTAGTGAATAAAGCCAAAGAGATAATTACATGCAGGAATGTCGCATTGTGGTTGAGTTTTTTGCTCTATTTTAATGTGATGTAATAAATAGAGAAGCAACTGATGTGGAGCCTTAGGTATTTCAGGCTGCGTGTTTGTGGTGGTTTCCCTAGTTTGCCTAGGGAGGTCTCATTGGGAATGACAGTCAAATCTCAAACAAACTTTGGATGAGGGCACAAATTACGGTATAGAGAACTGGGATTTCAACAGTGAACAGCTTCAGCATATGCCATATTTCCAGTCATATCAGCTAGCTTTGTATTTGCTCTTCTGAATTATAGTGCTATTGCTGCTGATGGAAACTAGGTGGCTTGATCCAGTTACCTTAAGATAGGTGTTTGATGCTAATTGAAAGACTTTATAGAGTGTCTGAGACATAAGCTTTACAGATATGACACGGCATCCACAGACCCCAGGGCAGCAGCTGGAAGCTAGGTGGGATTGCACGCGCATCTCAAATATCACTAGAAACTTCTGCTTAGGCAAATATATTGAGCTTTCGATGGTAGTCCTGACTTGTTTTCCTTCAACAGTAAAAGATCTCTGAATTTAGCAGTAAAGGTTTTCTTTGGTTGTTGTCCCGATGACGATTGAAGAAATTGTTTGAATACGTTTCTCATATTTCCTTGTTAGTTATAGATGCAGAGAAGAAAAAAAATTTATAATCTTAAACTATGAGTTTTAACTGCTGATCAACTTCTAAACAGGGTGAAAATAATTGAAACGTTGTTAGAGAGGCTCAAATAACAATATAATGCAACCATTTCACTAGAGAAGTTTCAAAAAGGGCAAATTAAAAAACTATTTTCCTCAAGTGCTCTACAACCTTGTTTCACTTCATGCTGAATGTGCTTGCCAAGAATTGAGTTGTATTATTTTTACATAGGACACTTGATTTACTGACTGGGATTGATTTACATGGACTCTTTTTTTTTTTTTTGGCATTCCAGGAAACCCTGTAAAAATAAGCAATATTAATTGCCATAATAGTCTACTGACTTATTTGTTAAAATCTGATACGTGTTTAAGCAGTTTTTTGTAAATTTTAAAGAAAGCTTTTGGTTTTACTCAGAACTCTGCATCTGTGTTTCTTTGTTTTAGATTGAGGAGGATACGTGGCAGAAATACTACCTGGAAGGAGTTGCAAATGAAATGTACACAGAATATCTGTCTAGTGCCTTTGTGGGTTTGTCCTTCCCTGCAGTTTGTGAGTAAGTAGAAATACATATTAATATACATAAGTATTTGCCTTCTCAAGTGAAATCTAAGGTTTCTGCAGGAGACTTTTTCACTCTGCTACAGTCCTAATGTTGCTACATCAGATGGGATCCAATAAAATAAACATTAAAGCAATCACTGCATGGAAGTATTCCAAACTTTGTAATGCCTGTGTTCAGAAGAGATTTGGAATTAAGTGATTGTAAATGAAAGCATAAATGTTTTCAGTGTTGAACAAATTCATCAGCAATCCATTTAAATTGAGTTGTTTACTTGTAAGTGCCGTCCCATTGTTTCTTCTAATGATTCCCATTCTTTGAACGGTGGTTGTCAGCGTCACCATCTTGGCTTATGTCCCATTCCAAGGAAACTATTCATTAATTGAAACAGATGTAGTGGAGTCATATAAGCAGTGTGGCATCCAGAGCTCTGTGGAACTGGTTGCAAACCACTTTTAACAAGTGAAATATGTCAGAAAAAATACGTCTATTCTGTAATGAGAAAGGAATATTTGAAGCATATAGTATATAACCATAGCATAAGCCATGCTACACCTTTATTTCTAGAGACTGAAAGTCCTTATATTTGTCCTAGAATGATTCTGTGAATGAGAGATTTGTATGCACAACGTTTCTATGATAAATACCGTGGCCACAAACATAGTCAGGATAGTTTAGCACAGTCATACTTCCTCTTCTGTTGGCATTGTTCTTCATTACAGCTGTACCAAAAGGTCACAGCAAAGACCGTGGACAGCTTTTGCTAGGCACTGTTCAAATGCTTAAAAAGAAACAGACCCTACTCTGAAGAGTTTGATGTCTAACTAGATAACATAGAAAAACTTCTACGGACTCCATTCTTAGAGGAGGAAATAGAGGAAGAAGTAAGATATCATCTGTTATGTAAAGGAGAATGATTTTGCTTTAACTCCTCTCACTTCTGCCACCTTTTCTGATTTTTACAGTGGCATAAACATAGGTTATGGCATAAGAACGAGGGAGAAACAACTGTTAGACAAATGTTATCCATTTAAACATCTGTCTTTTTCTGGGATGTAGCTATGACAGAGCCCAGTTGTGAATTTGCTAGTAAAATGAAGGGGTTCGTAATCCATCCCTCCACTGTGTTAACCAGACTGTGACTAGGTTTTTGAGGGAAAATGTTTATTACTGTAAGCACAAAATTTTGCCTGGATATCTTGAAATAGAAAATCTCATAACGTATTCTAGAGATTGGTATTATATTCAGAATGATTGGTGATTTGTGCCATTTACACTAACTACAGTCATGAAAACTAAATCTCCATGCCAAACCATTGTCAAACATAGTTGAGTTTCTATACGAGTTCTTAGAAACATGTGACTGAGACTGTATTTGACATAAAGCTGACAGTCATTTAACTGTGCTGGTAGAGCTGAGATAAAATAATCAATAAAGAAAGGGCATTTACTGAGATTTAGAAACATACCTAAACTTTGGAGCTCTCCTAAAGCATTCGATTATCTGGAGGCTTAATTAACTGTGTTTCCTAGCTTAAATTAAAGAAAAAGATTTATCTCAAATTTTCCAACAGTTTACTAACTCTATTAAATTCAGGTTAATTAAAGCACATTGAAAATTAAAATGTAGTGTTACATATTAATGAGTTTGCACAGGTATTTTCATTACTGTAAAAACTGGCTATTCAATTTCCAGAAGAACCAAAGGACAGGAAGAAGTCCATTGCATTGGTTTGTGAAGGGGAAATAAAATCAGTGGACAGGCTTAGTGTGATCAACTACCCACAAAATATACAGACTTTGAGAACAGTTTTTGTAATTTCACTTTTAAAATTGATGCAGTCGATGACATTTTAAAATCCTGAAACTAAATGAGATGTGCTGCTTCCTCAGGTTATTGGTCTTGATTGGCAGTCTAGGAATGTGATTCTTTGGTAAATAGGCTGCCATACAGTTTGGATAACAAACATAAAGAGAGTGGAGAAACATCTCCTCTTTCAGTGGGGATGGGACACTCAATATCGTTGAAGAATTTCAAGCTTTTGATGTCAACACCAGGGTGAAGAATTAGAGGGAAATATAAGTTAATATCAGTCTATGAGTTTTATTTATAACTCTGAGTATATGTGTGTGTACTGTGTGAACATATTCCCACCAATATATTTTCAATACATGAATGTAATTCCTATCATTCTGTGCCCTTGGATATTGTTGGACCAGATGTGGATGATGCTGATTGAAGAGTAAACTAACCAAACTGTTACCCACTAGCACAGAGTCTTCTAGTGGGCCTTCTAATATTTACGAATGCAAGGTTAACCTTCACCCAAGTTCTAGGACCACCGTTCTCCACCCAAAAATTTTCCTAGTCAGGCTAGCACATCTATGGATTCACACTTGACCTAGCAGTGGAAACAGCGTATGCAAGGTGTTCATTTCTCTTAATATATGTTAAATCGGGCCCATTTGCTGTTGGTTCTATTTTTTAAGTCACTCATTCAATCAAATGTCATAGCATGTTTTAATAAAAGGCAAAATTCTAGAGATGTCATTACCTCTATATTTGTGCAGCGTATTGTTGCACGGTTTATAACGATGGCATATATTCCACATCAGTCATGAAGATTTTTGTATGTTTTTGTAACAGACCATTTGGGGAGCTAATCACAGAAGTCTTAAAAACTTCACTGTCCTGACAAAGGAGAACTAAGTTAGGCGAGTAGGTGACACTCAGCGTTTGTCTGCATTCTCTCTCAGCTCCACAACAGATTATTTCTGTTCTGGATATATTCATAGTAGTAGTACTTCCTAGTCTGAGAGCAACTCCAAATTAAGCCAGTCTGTCACAGAGCAAGGGCAGCATGGGCTACCTGTAACTGTCAAGTTCTTGCTTCTATCTTTGTACCATTCTCTTCAACTAGATTTCTGACTTGTCTCGGAGGGTGAGGTAAATCTTAGGCACTTTTGAACTCTTGAGACTTAAGCCACACATAATATGACCAGTACAGTTTTCTGCCTCTCTGAAGCAGTGATGCTGGATCAGTCCATACCTGTTAAATTAAGAGCTTTTTCCTGAACCCAGAACTTTATTCAACATTGCAGATGTGTGTCAAATTTTAGACTCAACAAACCTAAGCTCAGCTCAGGTAGTGGCCAAACCGCAAGACTGCCTCTAGACTGACATGACTCTAAATTAAGCTTTCCATCTTCTGACTGTGATTAAAATCAGGCTCCATCTGATCCTGCCAGAGATGTCTCCTATATTTTACACCTTTTTCCAAGCCCTCTCAGAAAGTCTCCTGTGGGTGCCCCCAGCAAAAGGTTGGCCAGCCCCGCTGCCTCCACCCAGCCAATGACTACGTGCTAAATAGTCTCCTCAGGCACACCCGTGAGATAGCAAGAGCCAATGCATGAAAACAGATGTTGTAAGGTCCCGCTGTGCTCCCTAATTTCATGTCAGTGGACAGCAACCTTTTCACAAGTATGAAAAAGCTGCTTCAATGGAAAAGTATCCATAGACCAGCAGAGAGGCCTTACGGCTTCCCACAGTTCTTTCTTCTTTAATGCGTTTAAAGTATGGATGCCTAAGTTGCCGTTGCCAGTGCTTACACCATGGTTTTGGATAACCTGGATTTTACTACACTTGGTACAAGCAATAATTAGTGGGCTAGTAATTACTGGACAAATTTTGGTTTATTAATTCAAAAACTGTATATGTGGCAGCCATGTTTCCTGTTCATACCAAGAAAACTAACAATACCCACTTTTATAAAGCAAGCTTCATTTCTTTGTGTTTAAACCTTCAGTTGAGCTCTTACAGGAGCAACATCCTTACCTAGTTTTCTTATTCCAACATGATCAGCTTTAATGGGAGCCAGAAAGAACAGTGGAATGATAGTTTTGTTTAGCAGGGTAAGACTACACGAAGGTAATGAAAGACAAATATTTATGAAACTCTTCAGCCAAGTGTGTATTGGAGTAGGATGTATTCCACACTTCACAGCACTTCCATTGCATTTCAAATCAGGAATCATCTCGTGAACCAAGATAATATTTGATGTGGGAAATACAGAGAAAAATCAATGTAATGTTCTGTATTGACATTTCTTACCTTCGGCGTTTTCATAACAGACTGACAGTCAGCAACTAAAACTGTTAAATATTCAGCTCACGTTCTCACTACCATCCTAGTAATGGTAGTGGTATCAACAACCATGAGCAGCAAATTTATTTGCTCACCTGTTCTTGGTCTTATGAGCAACCACTGACTGGAACTGGTACAAATAATTAATCTGTATGAAGTGCTTCTGTGTGTATATGTGTGTCTAGAGAGAGAGTAATATATGTCATTATGAGTGACGTATGTCATATTATCATGAGTGACATAAGTTACTCTCTACATACTCTATTATATTGTTTACATAAGGACTCATGAACCCACTAGAAAAGAGCCTGATCTTTATCAAGAGTCACCCATATTCTCTACATGCTTTTGTATTAAAATCTATCCTTGGTGTTGTGTGCTCCCTCTGGATGTCTACTTTTCCTGCTTCCATGAATTCCACGTTATCCTAGTAGAGTTCCCGTCTTGGAGGTCTTTTTTCACAGTGCTAGATTTAAAGAGTACTTTGACTTTTTTGATTAATTTATGCAAACTGTGGCCCACTTCAGTGTGGTTTTTTATTACTTTAACTTATGTTAATTGTTTACAACTCAGTCTCATAGAATTTAATAGAAGGGTTTTCCTTTTGGACATTGGATGATCCCGTAAGACCTTGATCTCCTAAGGAAAAGACAAAAGGCCTTGTCCACAGCCATACACGAGTGATATTCAACACAATTATTGCTAAAAAGTTTGTTAGGTCTGTAGAATAAGTGCATAAAAGACCCATACCAAATGCTCAGCTTCTGCACTTGACAGGGCTGATAGCTTTTTCTTTTTTTCCTTTTTTCTTTTTTCTCTTTTTTTTCTTTTTTTTTTCTTTTTTTCTCCC